GTGCCTAAATTCTTTGTGTCTAGCCTTTAGGCCCCCTGGTCCAGCAAAGCACTCAGGCAAATGCTTAATTTTAAGCACACAAGCAGTCTTGTTGACTTCAACGGCATTACTTATATGCTTAAGCGTTTGTTGGATTGAGGCCTTGATTGGTCTCTGACCCAATTTTCTCATTTGTAAAACGGGGGTAATATGATTTCTTGCTGACAAGGGTGTGGTTAGGATATGCTAGCTGATGTTTGTAAAGCACATTGTGATCCTCTGCTGGAAGGTGTTATACAAGTTCACAGTATTACTATTTTAACTCACGGCTGGATACATTTAGCTTCCAGAAATAGTTTAGGGAGAGTTGGAAATAGAATACTTCACCTTATGTGTCAAAGAAAGACAAACATGGAAATCTGTTTAGGTTTGTGACGTTTAGCCTCCCCCTGCTCCTCCTGTACCAGAGGGTAAATTAATCATATACCACACTTTGGTAAAAACAACTTTCACCCTCATCAAGGGCAAAGACCCCTATCATGTAAAATAATCTACTCCAGTAATCCAAAATCTACATTCATCTTTTAACTGGAGTAGTTGCAGAGGGCCATCTGAAGAACACCTCCCCTCCCCTCAAATATTCCTGGATAGCAGCACAAACTCATTCAGAAACTGTTTAGCTGTGTCACAGTCTTCTCTGTAGTCAGATATGTTAGTTTTGTGGCCCAGATTGACACTAGATTGTGGAAATTAAATCTTGCTTGACAATCCCCTCCTCCCACATTTTATCTAGTTTATTTGCTCTTATTTTGTAAAGCCAAACAAATAAACATTTTAACACCTAAGCCCTAGATCTGAAATGTGGCAGTAACACTAAAGCATCAATCCTCAGCTATTGCTGTAACATTTGGAGAGGATGTTTCATATATTCGTAGATTTTTAAAGCCAGATGGGACCATTAGATCATCTAGTCTGACTTGACAGGCCATACAATTGTACCCAGTTACCAGTGTTTTGAGTTCAGTCATTTGTTTTTCTGAAATGACCAACAGCTCCAAAGACAATACTTCAATAACCTTTGATCTGGTGAAGATTAAATTCCATGAGCCAGATTCATTCTTGATGTAACAACACGGGACGTCAGCGGTATTACCCTCTGGATTAATTTCATCCAGTGTGCAGAAGGTTCGTGTTTACCCTACTGGGCAGCTCATGCCCTTTAAGATCAATAGTGGGAGAGCTAGTATAGAAAAGGCTCTTTTACACCTGCTCAGAGCATGTCTTGAGATGCGTTACCCATTCTTGGAACCAGCCAAGAAATAACCACAAACAAAGGGTGAACTAGAGCAGCACTGAGGGCTGATTTATTGCTTCCCTTATTTGCCCAGTTATACTCACACGCACAACACATTCATGCTGGCCAGCTGCGGGCGCAGATATTGATTTCGATTTTGCAAGTTGCACTTTTTGGCAGTCTGAAGAGAATAGACCTTACAGTGATTTGCAAATAATCCATTCTGAATGTCATGATTGTCACCTGATCCAAAATGAAGACACTCGAATTCTTGGTGAAGCAGAACAAACAAACGTAAAACAACCAATAGAAATAGACAAAAACTGAAAGGAAGAGAAGATGGCTACTGCTTAAGTTAGAGTTATAAAGGGGAATTGCTGTGGTTCAGTAGTTAACAGTTTCTTTGGGGTTTCCTTGTGTTTTGCTTCAAACCTTAATATAAGACCTGCAGTTAAATCTCTGATATTTCTAAATGTTAGTAGATTTTATTTTGAACCCTCTCATTGGCATTAGACACTTTTACGGTTTACTCAGCAATTGTTTAACACAGACACCCTTTTAAGAAGGCAAATGGAAAAGGTTTGGATGTAATCCCTGGTTTTGTGAGCGTGTGAGTAGCCAGCACAGGGTTAGGAGCATAGCCCCTTTTCTCCGGAAGAAGCTTCTTGGGCTGAAGATGGCGTTTGCTATTTTGAAGTTGTCAAGTGGAGAATGAATAGTGAATATTTGCAAGGTTGTGGAATAGACAGGAGCCAATCTCACCCTATATATAATCATCACCCTATATATAAATGGCTCAGTTTGAAAGAAGATTTTATTAATCCTTGAGTCCTACAAAGCATACTGAGATCGAAAGGAGGTTTTATTATATGGTACTTGGTTAGAAAGAATCTTATTGGATTTATTTCCTTGTTTCTCCGCCCACTAAAATGTCTTTTTTACACATTTGCAGATTTCTACTGAAAACAGTGTTACTACAGGTACCAACAAACAGGCTGCGTTATCCCATTTGCTACTAAGGATACTCTGAAGTCACTTGAAACCAATGCTTCGGTCTGTCCTTCATTTGGAAAAAAAAACAAACAAACCAGCAGCTTTCTCTCCCTCTTCCCCCTCCCTCCTTGGCCCCTGGGAGAAAAAGAAAGGGGAAAGTTCCCTGGTTCACACTTCTCACATGGGTCAGTAGAGGGAGCCCAATCTGGGAGGAGCTTCTCTGGCAAAGAGAAAGGCAGGGATCCTTGCTCTGAGGTCTAATTTCAAACACAGCTGTTCCTGATTATTTTTAATTTTGAAATTTCAACATTTTTTCACTGAAATTGAATTTCAACAAAAATAGCTGATGACATCTTCATAATTTCTCTCCATATTTTGACCAGTTCTTACTTCTATCATAGTATCTCCTATATAAAGGTACATACGGGTGGTTCTCCAATTTCTTCATTTTGAACACCACTTTGGACCTGATCCCAGGCCCACTGAAGCCAATGGGAATCTTTCAGCTGATTTCAGTGGGCTTTGGCTCAGGTGCTCAGTGGCAGAATCAGTGTCATGGAGCCACCCCACCACCTGGCACCCCATCTTCCACTTCTTGGTTTTCAAAATGTTGTTCATATTGTTCCCTATGAAAGGTTCTGCAGACTGCTGACTATTCACTTTGTTGTTTGAGAATTAACCTGGATGGTGAGGTGTCTAATAAAAAATCTGTTGCTTAAAGCATGGGGTCTTCTAATCAAAGTGGAGTAGGATAGTAGTCATGTTTGGAGACCACTTTGAGTTGGTCTTTCAAAACAGTAGGTTGCCTAGGAAGGGTGATCTGTGTACAGATTTTAACTTTCCTGTGCGGGACCCACTTGCAGGGGTGCGTTACGTTAAAAAGCAGATGATGCTTCCATGATGATAATAGGAGACTGGTGGTTGTTGACTTAAATGGGAACAGGAGCAGGGCAGCTACCCTGGAGTTGGATTCAGGCTCCCATAAAGCAGTGTAGACCCTGGAGTGCCAGGTTGGGACTCAGAGTTCAGCAGTTCCGAGCCTGGGGTTACAAATGAGTGTAGAGGCTGGGTCTGCTAACTCGAGTTCTACTAACCCATGGCTTACATTACAGGACAGACATACAGTGGATCGCTTAGGAGGCTGTTGACTCAATGGTCTTCAGCAGTGGAGAAGACTCCTCCTGTATATCCAATGTCTTGAAAAGTATCACAATCAATCACCAGCAGCATCAAAGGTAAACAATGGCAAAAGGAAAGGTGAATTCCTCCGCCACTTTATTCAAGGTACTCAGCTTCATAAAATCAACCAAAAATTGTTCCTGGAGGTGGGGGGAGGAAAAGTGAAGAATTTCCTGCCTGCAGCTCCCCCCCCCCCCCCCATGTCCTGGGGAGCATGACTGTGTTTGCACGTTGAGGTATTTTCCCTGGCTTTGTCTCGGCGCTGGTGTCACATTGCGGTGCAACTTCCCGGAACGTGCCAGGGTTTCCAGGAGTGAAACATATATCTCCCCCCGCCGCCCCCCCGTTCTTCGACCCCCATCCACAGCCTGACTCTGGAGCTGGAGAGCGGCGGCTGCTGCTGGCGGGCCTCCAGCCATCCACCGACCCAGCTAATGAGGGCCAGGTTTATTCCGCAAGTACGGCTGCCAAGGAGCCAATGTAGCTAGAAGAAGGGAAAGAATTTCACGTCAGACACGACTTTCCCTTTCTTTCTATCTTTTTTTTTTAAAGTGCATACATTTGGGGGGGGGGGTGAGAGAGAGAGATCTGCTGGGCTACATGCAATATTACACAGCACTGCAACCGATGAATAAGCATGTACTAAATAACCCCCAGGCAGGGCTGTCTAACGCGCACAGCTTGCGCTATGAAGTGTGTGTGGACCATCCCGTTGCACTGCATATAGGCAGCAGAGTCCTATACTGGATACAGTACTTTAGCCATCGACCCGTTTTCTCTGGCAACACACAGCTTCGAGCGCTCCTCTTCTCTCCGATCCGGAAAACAAAGGCTCCCACGTGTGAGGGGGCTGAGGTCTTATCCAAATGCAACGCCGGGCAGCCCTCAAGAGACTTACAACCCGAAAGGACCCCTTCCCCTCTCCCACTCCCCCCATTTTTTTTTTCAAGGAGGCCAGGGCCGATTCAGTTGCGCCCGTTCTGGCTTTCTTGCCTTCTGTTTTCAGACAGTGCGTTCTCCAGATCGGTTGCCGGTGCCTTTTAAACGACTTAAGGGGGGCACCCAACTTTTGCGATGCAGCTTTTGCGGTGTGTTTAACAACGAAGGTTCCGGGTCATAAAAAGAAAGGGGGTTCTGGCTGGGGGCGGGGGAAATGTGGTGCTTGCACGGGGCGACCCGAGGGGACTTGGCAGAGCCGGGCCGATTTCCGGGCGCACGGCGAAGGTCTGAGCTAAGCGAGACGCTGAGGCGAAGGACGCCGGATAAGAGGCTCGGCCGCCCTTGGGGGCAGGGCGCCGTGCGGTGGCCTCGTCTCGCGTCCGCCGCGTTCCTCGCGTTCACCCTCGCCACAGCCAGGGCTGGAGGCGCCGGGTTCCTCTTCCCAAGAGAGGAGGGAAATGCAGGGCGCTTCCTGTCCTGCCAGAAGACTAGGGAAAGTAAGAGAGTGACGTCCCTTTTTGCTTCGTCTTGCTCCTCCCTTGCCCCAGTGTAGGACCGTCCCTTGTAGAAACAGGAGAGGGGGCGGGGCGGGATGGGGCTGGAGCTGGGATCGCCTTCCAGGTAGACGGGAGCAAATTGTCAGGTCAGAAACGGGAATTATGTCATTCCTGCGGAGGAATGAATGCAAAAGCGCTTCCTCGTGTGGCTGATTGACAGCAGTACATGCGAAGGAGAGTATATAAAAGCGGAGAGCAGCCCCTCGCAAGGCACTGGAAGAAGTCTCAGCCAGACTACGGCGGATTCTGCAGCCCCGAGGAAGCTTGGAGTTTGCACTTCGCTTTTTCAAATAACTCCCGCTCTCTTTCCTTTTGGATTTGATTCGGAGCGTGAACGATAAAAGAGCAGCAGCAGAGCCTTTTATGCCGGGTAAGGGGGGGACACCTTTTAAGACTTCACATCTGTAAATGCCGCGATTGGCAGAAAACTGCTGTTATTAGCTGTGGGTGATGGATTTGTCTGTCTGCTTATCTCTCTGTCCCTCCATCTCCTCTTAGGTCTGCTTAGCTCAGTATTAGAGCATCTGTTATTCAATCCACCTTTCTTTTGGACGACTATCTTTTCAGCTGTGATGATAGCTGGGAATTTTGTCCCTTAAGTACTTCGTGTTAACTAGTATTCATGCTTTGTGCACATACAGTACAGGTTAATTTTTTGCACAGAGTATAGGACATCTTTCCTGGTGATGGTTAGTGAGGTAGATAATACGATTACAGAAACAGCATTTAGAAATGGGATGTAAACACGTTTGTTATACTACTGCTCATTGTATCCTATCTACTATAATACGTACATTAGATAGAAAAGAAAATATTTGTAAATGACTGGTGTTGCATCTGTCAAAATGTACTTGAAGTAGGATTTTTAGCTACCCCCCCAAAAAAATTTTTTTTTGCAGATAAGTGGTTTTGTAGTAATGTCCTGAGCAGCAAACACTTATAGTTTTATATTGAAACTTTGTCTTTGTGTAAAAGATAATGTCCCTGAGCTTTTTGGAAATGTAGGTTAGACATTTTTTAAAGTGTCAAGGTAGCATACTCGTATCTTGAAATTTGTGTGTCTATACAGTACAGCTGGCAAACTGGGTTTGCTCTGTTTAACAGACATGCATGTACATACACAAGTTTAGATGAAAATGCAGATATACTGCTTACACATCTCTGTAACCATACAGGAATACCTAAAGGGATTGCTATCTACCTTAAAGTCAGCATTGAGATAAATATTGTGTGTGTGACTTTCTAAAGTGGCATGTTAAAAAGTTGAATAGAACTCATGAAATTCCATTATCTTGCAAAGAATTCAGGTATATGTTGTGATTCAAAGTGGAGTTAAGATGGAACAACTAGTATACTGTCTATCCTGTCATGTAAAGCCTTGATGATGTCTCATGGAAAAACCTTAAGGAAAATTCTGCTCACATAGCATAGATTTTCTGTATATCTTTCCTTTTTTATTGTTAGGGACGTGCGTAAATACAGGATCTTTATTTTTAAGAATTCACTTGAAATCATCATGCTTTGCATTTGATGTCAAAAATCAAGTCCAGAGCACACAACTGTGATGTCATAAACATAAGAGCATGACCACATATACGGGAGAAGCAGCAGAACTCTTAATCGCAAACATCCTGTTTCATCTTAAAATGAACCAACAAGCAAACCGCAAACAAACAGGAAGAGAAATACTGTTTCCACGGTATGCATCCGATGAAGTGAGCTGTAGCTCACGAAAGCTCATGCTCAAATAAATTGGTTAGTCTCTAAGGTGCCACAAGTACTCCTTTTCTTACTGTGAATTAGAGATTTTATTGTATATTATATGTGCTGTTTGGATATAAACAGAATTGCTTTTGGTCTAAGTTTTTTTTCATTACAGTCCATGAGGCATCTGAAGGTCTTTACAATAGAAAAAGAACATTTTCCTAACTGATTTTTTTGTTTATTCATAGGAGTTATGCTACAGAGGAGCAGGCTGTTGTGGCTAATTGTCTTGCTAACTTTGTGGGCTTCTTCAAATGCTCAGGGTAAGTCCTTAAACTTCGTAACTTCCTGAAGCTTGAAGCATTTGAAAGCAAGGAGAAATGACAGTAATTTGCAAAGCTAAATGTTGACTTTAAAAATGAGACAGCTAAACCACTGGAGACAATCCAGTAGGAGCATAATCTAAGGAAAACCTGATTAAAATGAACAAAGTAACACAAAAACTTTAAGGTTTCAGAGTAACAGCCGTGTTAGTCTGTATTCGCAAAAAGAAAAGGAGTACTTGTGGGACTGTAGCTCACGAAAGCTTATGCTCAAATAAATTGGTTAGTCTCTAAGGTGCCACAAGTACTCCTTTTCTTTTTGCAAAAACTTTAAGATAAGTCTTATTACTACTGGCACATTTGGATGGTAACATTTACCTATTACTGATAAAAGAAATATATAAAAATAGTTTTCCCCTACTGAGCATTGACCTAAATTTACCTATTCTTAATTGCTAAATGATTTCCTTCTGTAATGTGTATGTAATATGAGACTTAATGGACTGGGTGGATGGGAGCTGCTTTCTCAGAAATTAGAGAGAAGAAAATCTCTATGGATCAAATCCAGGCTGGGTGTAAAATGGCACAATGCCAGATATTAATTTCCAGGTGGCCTCCTGGGCAAAATTCATATCTCGTGTAACTCTACCCTCTTCTTGAGAGCTAACCTGTTGTAACATGGTGGGTGTTCATAATTTGATTCTTCTTCACTGAGAGTTAGAGTAGGTAGCTTGAAATCCTGTCCTTGTAAAAATAAGCATGTTTATGTATATGGAATTTTGTTCACTTTCACTGAGGATTTTTTTTACATATAAAGTTGCCAAATAGATGAAAGTGCTAAATAGATGGAAATGCTGTTTATTGTGCCATGCCAAATATAGCACATGTGCTTCTATCTTCCAAGCAGTTGGAAGTAATGGGTTTATTGTGCCTGACAGGTAGCAAACATGCTAGTGTCTATCAAATTGTTAGAATTATTGGGTGTACTATGCACGCTTATTTTCCCTTATGCCCATTTTTGTATTCACATTGCTACATGCTGTTGACTTTTGCAGATGGTAACAAGGAAGATGAGACTACGTTTGACTTATTTCAAATCAGTAACATAAACCGAAAGACAATTGGAGCAAAATTATTTCGGGGTCCAAATCCCACCGTCCCGGCATATCGTTTCATCCGATTTGACTTCATACCTCCATTTAACCCAGAGAAATTCAAACAGATTCTTAAACTCATCCGGAAAAATGAGGGCTTTATTCTTTCAGCCACCCTAAGGCAGGACAGGCAATCCAGAGGTACTATCATTGCTTTAGAGGGCCCTGGCATCTCTCAGAGACAGTTTGAGATTATTTCCAATGGCCGAGCCAATACCCTGGACCTTATCTATTGGGCAGATGGCTCCCAGAATGTGATTTCCTTGGAAGATGTGGACCTAGCAGACTCACAGTGGAAGAACATCACAGTGCAAGTAACAGGAGAGAACTACAGCCTCTATGTTGGTTGTGACCTTATTGACAGCTTCATCCTGGAGGAGCCTTTCTATGAGCAGCTGAAAGCAGAGAACAGTAGAATGTATGTGACAAAGGGGTCCATTCGAGAGAACCATTTCAGGGTAGGTAACGTGAAAGTGTTAGGGTCAGTGGTGAGGTAAAGAATTTAGCTATATTTAATATTAGAAGACAATGGGCCCAATTCTGCTTTCACATGCACTCCAAAGTCAATGGGGAAGCATGGGTGAAAGAACAGAATTTGCTCCAGTGTGTCTTTTAGTTGGTTGCTTGGGGTGAATTATATGAATCTTAGTGCTCATGAAAGTGAAGGACTGATACAGCACAGTCTAGAGCCAGGCAAAATGCACTCCATCTCTGTATAGGTTTCCCCATGCAGTGTCCAACAGCCCTTTTTCCAATTTGTGAGGCTTCCCATAGCAGAGTGTCAAGCATGTCATATTTTGCAGTGAATTTTAGAGCTGGTCAAAAATTTTCCAGCAGAACATTTTCTGACAGAAAACACCGGATCAGTGAAAGTAAAACATTTCATGGAAATGTGTCAATTCTGGTGAAATTTCATTTCAAAAGAAAAAATGTTAAAAAACATTTAGACAAGGTTGAGACATTCCATTTCAACCTTTTCAGAACAGGACATTTTTGATTTTCTAATTTTAAGTGACTTTGTTTCAATTTTAAAAAAATTCTTTGATATAAAATAAAATTTTCAAAGTCAAAATTGGAATGAAACAGTTTGATTGACCCAAGATTTCTGGGGGGGAGGAGGGGGGATTTTGTTTCAAGCAAAATTTCAAATTTTTTGATTTTGTTCCATTTCAGAATGGAAAACATTTTGAAATTGTGGATTTTCCTGCAAAATGAAAAATCCAGCTCCTATCCTGCTCTAGTGATTTGTACAAAGTTCTTTAGGGGATAGGTTGAGCCGTCCAATTCTTTATACCTGAAATCAAACATGAACTCTTGTCTCCAGAGTTGAAAAGCCAGTGTCTTGCAACCCACTGTGCTACGAATTGTATGGAAATAGAGATTCGAACTCACAAGACAGTAGCATGAAAATCTAGTCAAATATTACTTTATCATGACTCATTCTGAAAAAAACGCTTCCTTTTGCACTTCATTAGTATAATAAATAATAACGTAACTAAGTTATCGAAGTTAACTTTTAGTATGTATTTCTCATGGATTGTATCCTAAATTATTTTTGAGTATTTACGTGAGATTAAATCCAGCCAATAGACTGCGGAGGTTGATAGGTGGAGGAGAATACATACAAAAATCCCAATGCTATAAATTTAATCCTGAATTGATCTGAAAGTTGTTTTCTTTAATTACAGGGTCTAATTCAAAATATTTATTTAATATTTGATACTTCAGTAGAGGATGTTCTGCGTAACAAAGGATGTCAGAGGAGCCAGACAAGTACGTATATTTTTTCACACTATCAGTGTTCAATTGAGTCTGAAAATGAAGAAGCCCAAGGTTCATATATTAACCTCAAACCATGGCATAGCTCCCATTGAAGCCAGCGTGAATTGGGGCAGAGGTAGAACATGTCTCTGGAAGGTTTGGAATTGCTGGCAATGAACATTGTTTGGCAGTGACAAGCGAAGCAAATTGTTGTAAACTTTGCTATGAAGGTAGTGAATAGATATAATCAAAATATTGCTTCTGCCAGATACTCTGATCTTTTATCCCTGCTGCTCAGATTTAGAATTTTGGTTCTTTATGTGCAGGTTGAGGAAAAGCTAATGACCAAGGAGAAAGTTATTGAAAGTTGGAAAAAATTTTTTAGTATATGTGCAAATATCCATGTACTTCCATGAAGGAATGTTCTCCGATGATTAGAGCAAGGGATTGGGGATATGTCGACACTTCAGCGTCATTTATGTGAATAATGCATACCTCTAAGTGACATAAGTTATACTGACATAAGTGCCGGTGTGGACAGTGCTATGCTCTCCCGCCGACATAGCTACCGCCTCTCCCAGAAGCAGGAGATATTAAGCTGACAGCTGAGAGCAGCTTCACCAGAAGCGCTACAGTAGCGTAGCTGTACAGGTGCTGCTGTAGTACAGACAACCTAGCAATCACATGTCCGGGTTCTAATCCTGACTATTTGACTGGCTCACTGTGTGACCTTGGGCAAGTTTTAAAGAAGTGAAATTGTTAGGTGCCCAATCTAGTGGAGATATTATTGAAAGGGTGTTGTGGCTGAATCTTCGTCGGTTGTGATTCAAAAAAAGTATTAATTGGGCCAGAGAGTGAGTGAGAATGACGCTTTGGCCGAGTCGGTGGGGCACTTATACTCTGCCCTGCTCTTATGTCAGTGTAACTGTGCCGCTTAAGGGTGTCCCCTCACACCAATGAATATTTAGTTATTTATACGTGGTGGAACAGTTCCATCAAGAGAGGCTGAGAAAGTCCTGCCCTAGAATACCTAGTGCTTAAAGAATTGTGTTGAGAGGGGAGAGACCCAAGTCCAAATTCCATATCAGGCAGAGGTGGGAATTGAACCCACATGCTGGGTGAGTGCTCTAACCACTAGGCTAAAAGTTATAAAGTGGACACCAACTCCTCCTGTAGCCACTGTGTGGGGTTAGATATGTTCCTAGGATGCCTAGCTGATTGACCTTGCATGCACCTAGGGAATTTTTGAAACATTTTATTAAGGCAAAGTTATGATAAAACGTTAACATAGTACATCGTACATCACTTATTAAGGATCAGGTTAATATTCAAAGAACCTGGCTAAAGATTCTGGCTTGCTGGCTGGGGAGACCTCCTCTACTGAGTACTCTAAAAAAGGTGACCAAATGTCTAAATACCTATCCTCTTTTGGCACTTCTCTTGTGTGTGAACTTGGTATGAAACTTTTCTACTACAAAGACACTCCATATTTGATTAATTCCACAGGAGAAGTCAGATGTTTCCAATAATGTGCAATTCAAAGTCTTGATGCTAACAATAAAAAATGAAATGAAATTGTCATTCTGTTTATAAGAGAGATCCTGTACTGGAACATTAAGTAAGAAGCCCAGGGGATTTCTAGGAAGACAGCATTTTATCATAAGAAGAATCTTTTAAATAATTTCCTCCCTAAACTCTCTAATTCCTGGACACAACCACCATATGTGCAAGTATGTTCCTCTTTCCCCACAACCCCTCTAACAGAGCGTCTCCCTAGCAGCAAAAATCTGATGGCTCTTAATTGGAGCCAAAATGCCATTTATGCAATAATTTATTAAAATGTTCTTTATGAACCACACAAATTGAAAATGTATATCCCCTCCTCATACAGAGACCTGCTCATCCAGATCAATTTCTTTGTCCAGGTCCCTCTCCCATCTTTCCTCTGGGTTGTTTTCTCAGGAACAGCCTTTTCAATCAAAATTGTATGTATCTTAGAAATTAAACCTTTTGTTCTAGCTTGCTCCTGCATCAACTCCTCAAATATAGTTGAAAGTCTAGACAGAGCTGCCCTGTGTCCAGATTTACAATAAAATGTTTGGCTTGTAAATAATGAAAATCCCATCTGTTTATATTATTTACATCACATATCTGTTGGTATCATTCAGATCAGTACCTAGAAACAGCTGTCCAAACTGAGTACTATCGGCTGTTACTCACAACAAATAGCCACTTTGAAATTTCCTAAGGATAAATTCCTGATTATTAATGAAAGTAGCTAAGGGAGAGGACAGGACTTTAAAAACAGGAATTTAAAAACATTGTCCAAAGCTGTGGTGGTTTGGATGAACGGGTGATATTTCTTTTTAACCCAACAATGACTATGAATAGCTATATTTGTCTTCCAGTTTTGTTTGAATTTTACCCAGTGTTTGGATGGTCTATTGTTAACCAAATCAATCACATCTTTTATTTCAATGCATAATGATAATAAACCAAATTGAGGCACACTAGTCCACCCCACTTTGTAGGCTTACACAGAACTATAGCACTCACCCTTTGTCTCTTCCATTTCCATATACATTTTAATAGTGTATCTCGCCGTGTTTTTAATGTCACGGCAGGGATACCAGTAGGGATGCACTGAAACAAAAATAGTAACTCTATGAGAATATTAATTTTTACCTATTTAGCTAAGAAATTTAATATTTGTTCCATTCCTCCGAGTCTTTTATTACTGTATTCCACAGGGAGAATCATAGAATCATAGAATCATAGAATCAATAATTTGCCTTAAAAAGATTTTTATATTTCTCCACAATATTTATTCCTAAATATTTTAACAATTTCTTGCCTGTTTAAATTTATGTAGCTGACAACAGTTTGTTTTGACCCTTTTGGGAATATTAATTCCTAACATTTCAGATTGATTGTAGATTATTCTGAAGCCTAATACCTGCCCAAATTCTGGAGTCAATTGTTCTATAAATTTTAATGCGGCTTCTGGATCCTGAAAATACAACAAGGTATCGTCAGCATACAAAGCTATTTTGTGTTCTAGTTCAGAATACATTTTAATGCCCTTTGCCAAGGGGCTGTTTTTTTCATATTTGTGGCAAATGGTTTCATTGCCAAAGCAAACAACAAGGAGCAGTCCCCAAGGGAATTGTAATGGTGGAAATTTAGGTGCCTAGGGGCTTTGGCAATCTACAAAACTAGGTGGCAGCTGAGCAGGGGTTTTGAGGACCTCAGTGGTGCCTAAAGTAGCAGCTAGGTACCTAAGTCCACTTGTGGTTCGAGTTCTTAGATACTGTAGTGATGGGTGTTTTAAACATTTGTAGGCTTGATAGTTGAGTATCTTACTTTAGGCAGCATAGGCATCAAGGCCTCCTATCATTTGATCATTGTGGCACATTTCATTTAAGTAGGTTCCTTTGCTCAGGTTAGGCGAGAACTCTACATAAGTCATACCTACCTTTCCCACCATTGCTGAATGGTAAAAGGGAGGAGGGAGTAGGAGGGGAAACATCTCATTGCTAATGTTTCCATTCTGAATAGAGAGCAAATCAAAACCTGTGATCAGTTTTATCCATGGCTCCCTTGTTAGTGGCAGGACATGTGTGGGTGAAGGGACAGGTATGAGAAAGTGTAAATCTTGTTTTGGTCTATGCCATGGTGCATTCAGAGTAAAGCAGAAGGCTGGCTTCCAGGATGCCAAAGTTCAGGCATCACTTCCCTCATTCCCCAGCAAAGAGTGAGCTTTGTAAATATCAAGCTCATGTGGACACCAAGGACCACATTAAACCATCTGATCCACAAGGCAGAGCTCTGAAATCTAGAGTAATTGATGTAATTAAGGGACTGACAGAACTCTCTCCACCTAGGTGAGGATATAATGGCATGATCTGTTGTGCCAATACAGAGCGGATCTCCAGATCTTCTCTATTTGTGTTGGAAGATTACTAAGAAGGGAAATAGTATCATTAAAAGTAGATTGGATCATGCCAAAACCCATGGAAACATACTATAAAGAGAAAGTAGAAGGAAAATTATGACAGTACTGCATGCTGATACTAACCTTAGCTGGAATACCTTGCACACTTCAGCAATTGCAGTTGTTTAGTCAACTAGGGAGTTGTTTTGCTACAGGTGTTCCTCCCCCAACCATATCCGTCAGCTATGTTTGGGGTACAAACACAACAGCTACAAATCAGTTACATTACACAAATTTGTTTTTTTTCACCCTCTCTGGAAGAAGGTGGGTCAACAGACCAATTAATAATGTTCTTATTTTTATTTTACAACCCTAAATTGAACACAATTGAATGGAAATTCCTCATTCAAATACATGAGGTGAAGTCGCGTCATTTTGTGGCATGCATGTGAGTAACATGAGACATGCCACACACGTGGTTGTAGTTAGCAGCTTCATGACGCTGCCCATGTAGATTAATTACCACAGTAGAAAAGCCATTGGTGATATACTGCTCACTTGACTAACAAGTTTAACACATGCCACACTGTGCTGCATTCCTTAATGCACTGCAACATATTGATGGGGGTGTAACATTCTGTATTTCAAATCATCTTAATGATCTGATGTTGAGTAAAGACATGAAAGGGAACACTGGATTGCTATTCAGGCCAAGACTGTATGTGCCTCTTCCAGTTTAAGGTACATATTGGTGTTCTGGCCTATTATTATATGGACAAGGGCCACCTTCCCATTATGAATTTTTGGTCCATATTTGTGACAGAAAGTGATTGTTTCTGCTGCACCTCTGGGTTAGCACCTATCACTGATACTGGCAGGGAATTCTGCAAATGTGCCGGGAGCTGCCTGCAAGCTCAGCCGCATGATTTCTGTCCAGGTTGGCTTGTGCTCCTGCCCTTCCCCTTGGCTGGTTTGCACCCTTCTATGGGAGGTTTGTGAAAGAACAAGGCTAGGGCTTTAACTGAGCATGGTGATGCTACACACTAGAAGTATTTGATCAAGTTTGGCAGGTTCAAAA